CCATACTATAATGCTGTCGGAACATGAAGACTTTTTTTTTTTTTTTTTTAGCGACAGTGTTTGCTCTTGCTCAGCCTGTCTTGAACTCCTGCTCAGCAAAGAATTCTCCCACTTAGGCCTCCCGAGTGCTAGGGATTACAGGTGTGAGCCACCGCGCTGCGGCCCAAGACTATTTCTTCTCTAAATAATACACAAGAAACTATGAAAATGATGACTTCTGGAATAAGAGAACATCTTATTTACTTTATCCTTTGTATACAGTTTGAATTTTCTTCTAACTATGTATATTGCTTGCATTTCTAACTAGGTGAGAGGATTTGGACCATTTGTTTTCTCTTCTTTTTTTGGACATAGGGTTTTGCTCTGTCCCAGGCTAGAATGCAGTGGTGTCATCATAGCTCACAGCAACCTCAAATCCTGGTTCAAGGGATCCTCCTGCCTCATCCCTCTGAAGCAGCTGGGAATACAGGCATGTGCCCCACACCCAGCTAATTCTTCTATTTTTGTAGAGATGGAGGTCTGTGTTGCTAGGTCGGTCTGTGATTCCAGGCTCAAGGGATCCTCCCTGACTCAGCTTCTCAGAGTGCTGGGATCACAGGTGTGCGCCACTGCCTCTGACATTATCTTCTTTATACTTTTCTGAATTTATTTTCTCATTCTAAAAATTGTTGTTTAAACATTTCTTTATTTTATTTTTTAGAGACAGGTCTTGCTTTATTGCCTGGCTTGAGTCACAGTGTTGTCATCATAGCACATGCAGCCTCAAACCCTGGCTCAAGTGTTCTCTCCACCTCATCCTCCCAAGTCCTAAGACTACCGGATTGCACATCATGCCTGGCTAATTTTTTTTATTTTGTAGAGCAGGTCTTGCAATGTTGCCCAGGTGTGTCTCAAACTCCTGGCCTAAGTGATCCTCCCGTCCAGCCTCTCAAAACACTGAGATTACAGGCATCAGCCACATGCCTGGCCCTCATTAACATTTTCATATGGATTAGATATTGAAATATAGATTCAAAAAAATACTATCATATGCCACATAATGACTTTCAAGAACACATGGACCACATATAAGACAAGAGTCCCATAGATTATAATGGAGCTGAAAAACTATCACCTAGTGATGTTGTAGTCATCCAAATGTCGCAGCACAATGCATTACTCATGTGTCTGTAGTGATGCTGGTGTAAATAAATAAACCTACTGTGCTGCCAGTCGGATAAAAATATAGGAATACTATTATGTACAGTAGATAATATTTAACAATTGTAATAAATGACTACCTTACTAGTTTTGGATTACTATACTTAATTTTTATGTGCTTATCTTAGTTTTACAAAAAGATTTAAAAAGTAAAAAAAAAAGGCCAGGCACGGTGGCTCATGCCTGTAATCCTAGCACTCTGAGAGGCCGAGGCAGGTGGATGCTCGGGGTCAGGAGTTCAAACCAGCCTGAGCAAGAGCAAGGCCCTCTCTTACTGTAAAGAGAAAGAAATTAATTGGCCAACTAAAAATCTATAGAAAAAATGAGCCGGGCAATGGTGCGCATGCCTGTAGTCCAGCTACTTGGGAGGCTGAGGCAGCAGGATTGCCTGAGCCCAGGAGTTTGAAGTTGCTGTGAGCTATGCTGATGCCATGGCACTGGCTCTAGCCTGAGCAACAAAGCGAGACTCTTTCTCAAAAAAAAAAATAAAAAAATGGAGATGGTGCTAGGCACAGTGGCTCACGCCTGTAATCCTAGCACTCTTGGAGGCCAAGGTAGGTGGATTGTTTGAGCTCAGGAGTTTGAGACCAGCCTGAGCAAGAGCAAGACCCCATCTCTACTAAAAAAAAGCAGAAATTATTAGGCCAACTAAAAACATATATAAAAAATTAGCAGGCATGGTGGCACATGCCTGTAGTCCCAGCTACCCGGGAGGCTGAGCAGAAGGATTGCTTGGAGCCCAGGAGTTGGAAGTTGCTGTGAGCTAGGCTGACGCCATGGCATTCTAGCCCAGGCAAGAGTGAGACTCTGTCTCAAAAAAAAAAAAAAAAATGTAATGGGGGGGGGCACTGGTAAATGTAGCATTCTAGGAGGCCTAGGTAGGAGGATTGCTTGAGTTCAGGAGTTGGAGACCAGCTCAGCAAGGAGGAGACACTGTTTCTAATAAAAATAGAAAAGAAAAAAAACTAGCTGGGCATGGTGGCACATGCCTGTAGTCCATCCTACTTGGGTGCTGAGGCAGGAAACTCTCTTGAGCCAGGCATTTGAGCCTGCAGTAATCTATGACCAGCAGCTGCACTCTAGCCAGGGCCAAAGTGAAACCTGTCTCAAAAAAATAAAATAAAAATAAAAAAAAGGAGAGAGAAAGTATTTCGTGGTTGTACAATGTGTTTGTGTTTTTAAGCTAACTGTTATTGCAAAGTGCCAAAATTTTTTAAAAATTAAAAAGTTGGCGGCGGGTGGCTCAGGCCTGTAATCCTAGCACTCTGGGAGGCCAAGAGGCGGCGGATTGCTCGAGGTCAGGAGTTCAAAACCAGCCTGAGCAGAGAAGACCCCGTCTCTACCATAAAAATAGAAAGAAATTAATTGGCCAACTAATATATATTAGAAAAATTAGCCGGGCATGGTGGTACATGCCTGTAATCCCAGCTACTGGAGGCGAGGCAGGAGGATTGCTTGAGCCCAGGAGTTTGAGGTTGCTGTGAGCTAGGCTGACGCCATGGCACTCACTCTAGCCTGGGCAACAAAACGAGACTCTGTCTCAAAAAAAAAAAAAAAAAATTTAAAAAGTTTATGAAATAAAAAGTTATAGTAAGCCAAGGCTAATTTATTATTGAAGAAAGGAAAACATTTCTTTTTTTTAGAGATGGTGTCTCATGATGTTTTCTAGGCTGGAGTGCAGTGGCCATTCACAGGCATAATCAGAGTATACCACAACCTCTAACTCCTAGGCTTAAGTGATCTTCCTGCCTTAGCCTCCCAAGTAACTGGGAATATAGGATGTACCACTGTACCTGGCTAGAAAAATACTTTTTAAAATAAATTCAGTGTAGCCTAAGGGTGCAGTGTTTTCATATAAAGTCTACAGTAGTGTACAGTAATGTCCTACATAGGCCTTTCACACTCACTCAATGATTCACTCGGAACAACTTCCATTTCTGCAAGCTCCACTCATAGTAAATACCCTATATAGGTGTACCTTTTCTTTTAGCTATCTTTTATAGTGCATTTTTACTGTACCTTTACTACGTTTAGATACACAAATATTACCATTGTGTTACAACTGCCTACAGTATTCAGTGCAGTTAACATGCTGTACAGGCTTGCAGCCTAGGAGCCTCCTATGGCCCTAGGTGTGTAGTAGGTTTGTGGAAGTACATTTTATGATGCTTGTACGATGACAAAATCACCTAGCAATGCAGTTCTCAGAATATTCCCCTCATTAAATGACACAAGATTATATATGACAATGAATTTCGCATTTATTTTTCAATTTTAAATGTGGCTACTAGAAAATATAAAGTTAGACACGTGGCTTACAATTTATTTCTATTGGATAACTCAAGCTTATAACATTTTAGTATTATAATCATCATTATAAGTTTGGCTTTTATTCCACAGACAAGCCTACTGCATGCGTGGGCAGTTGCGGGGGGTACTGCGATGAAAGAGAGAGGCCCCATCTCTTGGGAGGTTACAACTTAGTGGGGGAAATACACGCAGCTTTACAGTGGTGATGAGAAGTGTTATTTAAACCTATTTATTTCTCCTGCCTTGGTGGCATGAAAGGGGCATTCCAAACAGCACAGGAGCAGGAAGCCTCCAAGGTTAACTTGGAGCCTGAGTAGGGAGAGAAAGGCTCTGCCATCGCCACCGCCATGAAGGACGGGGCCGCCGCGGTGCGCAGTGTCTGTGGTTTCTCTCCACTGAGACTTCCAGGAACTGCCCTTAACCGGGAGGCGGCGTCACCAGTAGCCCTGCCGCAGACGCTGGGCTCCGCTCCGGCCCACGAGCCTCACTCTGGCCCGGCTAATACTAGCACCCATTCGGCCCCCAGATTCCCCGCCCCCATGCAGCCCCTAGGACGCCAGGACTCCCCTCAGCGCCCCCAGGCTCCCCGGGCCTCCCCGCCGGACGCCTCCGTTTGGACCCACGTTTGGACCCACCGCTCCCCAAACTCCCTCAGGCTCAGTGCATTCCTTCAGTCCCCAACTCCCGCGCCTCCCCAGAACCTCCCCCGTCGTCCCTCTTCCAAGACCCGGCAAGCCCTCCTCGGCCCCAGGACACCGCCCCCCGCAAGTTCCCTAGTCCCAGCTCTGGAGTCCCCACAAACCCCTCAGGCCCCCTGAGATTCCTCAGCTCCCCAAACTCCCCTCAGCCCAGTCCTGGACCCACCCCACCCGCCCCCGTCGTGCCCCAGACGCCCCCTCGGTCTAGTCCCCCCACTTTCCACAGCCCTCAGATGCCCCTCGGCCGACCCAGCGAACCCCGGGGCCCGGCCTCGCGCGCGCTCTCCCTCATTGCCCGGGCCTCGGCGCCCGAGCCCCGGCCCACCTGCGCGCCCAGCTGGTTCAGCTGCTGCATGTCGCCGCCCACGGCCTCCGGCACGGGGTCCTGTGTGCAGTGCAGGCGGCCCATGCTGCCCGCCAGGCCCCGCCAGCCCGGCCCCGCTAGCCCGGCCCCGCTAGCCGCCCTGCTCAGCTTCCTCAGCTTCCTCAGCCGCCGCCGCCGCCGCCTGGCAGCCTGTCCGCAGCCGCACTTTCGCCACAGCCGCCCGCCCCGCCGGCCGGGGGCGCCCTCCCGGGCCGTGAACGCGCAGCCACTGGGCTTCGTGGGGGGCTGAGGGGCAGCACAGAACCCCGCTGGGTGACCCCTGGGCACAGTGCTTGGCCTCTCTGAGCCTCAGTTTCACTAGCAGTGAAAAACGATACCTGGGGTGGCTGCTTAAATGATTTAATCCTCCAAAACCGTTTGGAGCAGAGCCTGGCACGCAGGAGGTATTCAATCAATGGCTACCTGCCAGTATTGTTGTCATTGTGGTTATTATGCATTCAGCAAATATTTATTTACTTATTTATTTTTATTTTTAATTCAGCAAATATTTATTGCACGCCTACTAGATGCCAGGCGCTGGGGACAGGGAAGGGAAAAAGGCAGGGCAGGGTGACCCTCAAGGGGTGAGGGCAGAGGAGGGCATCAGCATCACCTAGTATAATGTCCATTGCTGGGCCCCGCCCCCAGGTTATCTGATTAGAAAGTCCTGGGGTGGAGCCTGATAATTTGCATTTCCCACAGGTTCCTAGGGACCACACTTTGAGAACCTCTGGAGTGAAGGAAACTGACCCACCACAGGTTACTCAAAATAGTGCAATACCTTGATGGTGAGGTGCACGAGGGGACGTTATTGAGACAGTGAAAAGCCCTTCAAACATTTTAACTCCCATAATCTCTCTTTGTAGGGACCCCCCACGGTCCCCAGGTGAGGATTACCCTGATTACCATTTAATAGATGAGAAAATTCTGCAGGTGACTCTTTGGCCTAAAAATAAAAAAAAATAAAAAAAATAAAAAATAGATGAGAAAATGGAGTTATTCTCCCCAGAGTCTGGGAATTGATCTCCCAAGAGCTTCGCTAAGCCCTGAGTCCAGCCTCCAGGATGGGGGTGCAGTGCTAGAATGGGGGACAGCACAGGGGCTTGAATGGGAAGGGTTGGCTGGCCTCCCCCACCAGGCTTTTTTTTGAGACAGAGTCTCACTTTATTGCCCAGGCTAGAGTGAGTGCCATGGCGTCAGCCTAGCTCACAGCAACCTCAAACTCCTGGGTTCAAGCGATCCTCCTGTCTCAGCCTCCGGAGTATCTGGGACTGCAGGTATGCGCCACCATGCTCGGCTAATTTTTTCTATATATATTAGTTGGGCAATTAATTTATTTCTATTTATAGTAGAGATGGGGTCTCTCTCTTGCTCAGGCTGGTTTTGAACTCCTGACCTTGAGCAGTCCACCTGCCTCCGCCTTCCAGACTGCTAGGATTACGGGCATGAGCCACCACACCCTTCCTGGTCATTATTTTCATACATACATTCATTCAACCAATATTGAGTGCCTGCTTTGGGGCAGATACCAAGATAGGTGGTGGGGACTCCATGGTGACAAAACTAAATACAGAGCCTGGCAACTGAGAAGTCGGAGTTTACCCAGGGAGGCAGACTTGTGTGGGTGAAATTAACTGATGCCGAAATGTATACAGGTGGCAGTCCAAGTCAGGAGTTCTTGGAGGAGAGTAAATCTTCAGGTTACAGACAGGGACTGAACTCAGAGGCCCTAGTCACTGCCCAAAATATTTTTAACCCTTTAAAAAAGATCCCTGTCAGGGCATTATATTTATCAATATCTTTAAGTGTTAAAACAACTTTGTTTACATATAACTTATATACAATAAAATGCACCTATTTTAATTTTTTTTTGATTTTTCAATTTTTTTGAACATCCTTACGAAAACCAGTGGATTTCTTTAATTTCTGCTCCCACAGTAACTGGTGCTGAGTCACTCCATAAATACTGTATTTATGGAACTGAATTAGCCCTTGTGACAGAAAATGGAGAAGAGGAAAGATATTCACTTGAAACTGCCACCCAACACTATAGTAGCAACACAGCCACTGTCTTGTTTTCCAGTCTTTTTCCACATCACAGGTCACTGGGGTTTCTGTGATTTGTTTTGTTTTTACACATTCAGGACTCCCCCTCTCTACCAAGCTGCCTAATCCCTGATACTCCCAGTGTGGTCCTTGGACCAGCAGCATAAGCAGCAGCTGGGAGCTTGTTAAAAATGCAGACTCTTGGGCCTACCAGACCTGCTGATTCAGGATCTGCATTTTAACAATCCCCAGGTGATTTGCGGGCACATTAAGATTGGAAGTACAAACAATAACAACTATTTTTAAGTGACCACCATATGCATGGCTTGATTTTAAGCACCTGAATACCCACTATGTATAATGATAATGATACTTTGCATTATCTACCTATTGTCATTCATATTACTTCTTTTTTTTTTCTTTTTGAGACAGAGTCTTGCTTTGTTGCCCAGGCTAGAGTGAGTGTCATGGCATCAGCCTAGCTCACCAGCAACCTCAACTCCTGGCTCAGCAATCCTCCTGCCTCAGCCTCCTGAGTAGCTGGGACTACAGGCATGCATCACTATGCCCGGCTAATTTTTTCTATATATATTAGTTGGACAATTAATTTCTTTCTATTTATAGTGGAGACTGGGTCTCCCTCTTGCTCAGGCTGGTTTTGAACTCCTGACCTGGAGCAATCCGCCTGCCTTGGCCTCCCAGAGTGCTAGGATTACAGGCCTGAGCCACCTCACCAGGCCCATATTACTTCTTCTTCTTCTTCTTTGGTGCAAAAACCCAGGAATGAGCCATCATTCCTATTTTAATGTTTATCACATTGTATTATTGCTCTGGTATACATATCTGTCTACTCCACTTACTAATTATGTTGTCTTGGGCAAATTACTAACCTTTCAGTGCTTCTATTTATTTTTTCATGTATAGTATGGAGACAATAACAGAACCTACTGGAAAAGAAGCAATGAGACAATGTTTGCAAAACACTTAGCTCAGCTACTAGCTCACAGTAAGCGCTCAGTAACTGCTTGTTGTTATTATTTCAACTTCTCAATCTTATAAAGAGAATATTGCAGGCTGGGCGCGGTGGCTCAGGCCTGTAATCCCAGCACTCTGGGAGGCCGAGGCGGGCAGATTGCTCGAGGTCAGGAGTTCAAACACAGCCTGAGCACGAGTGAGACCCGTCTCTACTATAAATAGAAAGAAATTCATTGGCCAACTAATATTATAGAAAAAATAGCCGGCATGGTGTGCATGCCTGTAGTCCAGCTACTCGGGTGGCTGAGGCAGGAGGATTGCTTGAGCCAGGAGTGTGGAGGTTGCTGTGAGCTAGGCTGATCACGGCACTCACTCTAGCCTGGGCAACAAAGCGAGATTCTGTCTCAAAAAAAAAAAAAAAAAAAAGAATATTGCAGTAAACATTCGTGTACACAATCCTTTTTCCACATCGGATTATTTCTGTCAGAAAATATTTTAGGAAGGTCAAGGTCATATTATGGTCAGACTTTCTGGGTTCTAAATATGATATGGGGGAGGGGATGAAGAAGGCTGGTTAACAGGTACAAACATATAGTTAGATGGAAGGAATAAGTTCTAAAGCTTAATAGCAGAGCAGGGTGACTATCCTTAACAACAAGGCCAGGCTGGTGGCTCACCCCTGTAATCCTAACACTCTGGGAGGCTGAGGTGGGTGGATTGCTCCAGGTCAGGAGTTCAAAACTAGCCTGAGCAAGAGCAAGACCCTGTCTCTAGTATAAATAGAAAGAAAATTAATTGGCCAACTAATATATATATATAGAAAAAATTATCTGGGCATGGTGGCTCATGCCTGTAATCCCAGCTACTCGGGAGGCTGAGGCAGAAGGATTGCTTGAGCCCAGGAGTTTGAGGTTGCTGTGAGCTAGGCTGACGCCATGGCACTCACTCTAGCCTGAGCAACAAAGCAAGACTGTCTCAAAAAAAAAAATAATAATAATGTATTCTACATTTCAAAACAGTTAGAAGAGAGGCCTTGAAATATTCCCAACACGTGGAAATGAGAAATACTCTAGGTGATGGGTATCCTAAATAATCTGACTTGATCATGACACATTCTGTGCATATCACAAAATTTCACATGTACCCAGTAAATATGTACAAAAATTGTGTCAATAAAAAATTTGGGACCAGGCAGGGTGGCTCATGCCTGTAATCCTAGCACTCTGGGAGGCCGAGGCGGCGGATTGCAGAGGTCAGGAGTTCAAAACAGCCTGAGCAAGAGTGAGACCCCGTCTCCTACATAATAGAAAGAAATTAATTGGCCAACTAATATATATAGAAAAAAAGTAGCTGGGCATGGCGGCGCATGCCTGTAGTCCCAGCTACTCAGGAGGCTGAGGCAGGAGGATTGCTTGAGCCCAGGAGTTTGAGGTTGCTGTGAGCTAGGATGATGCCATGGCACTCACTCTAGCCTGTGCAAGAAAGGGAAGACTGTGTTCAAAAAAAAAAAAATCACAGGGATGGATGAACTTGCAGGGCAGACTAGATATTTACCCATAACCAGTCTCTCTGAGAATACACAGAAATTAGCATTTTAGCCTAAACAGGGACCTGGTACATTTTCCTGCTCTCCTTCTAACCCACATTCCCTACAACCCAAAGGAGAAGACACTCAGGTCCTCTCAAAGAAGCCTCACAATCCCAAACAAAGGCATTGGTGGCTTCTGTGGTAAAATGCTACCTTAACATCATCACAAAAGGCTGTGTAATATTCTATTGAGCAAGAATATCATAATGCCCACAACTAATCCCTATGGCTGCCCCATGATTTTTCTTTTTTATTAAGAACTTTGCAACTTATAAAGCAATAGATTAAATAAAAAAGTCTTTCCAAAGTTCTCCTTCACAATCCACTTTCAGAGGAAGGAAGAAGCGGTGATTACTGTTAATGCGATAACTTTGTAGCAGGAAATGCAGGCCTAGGCCAGGCCTCCCTTCTAGAGAAACTCCCGCCCCCACCTCAGCCTTTATGAGGGACCCAGCTCCCTTCATTCACTTTAAAATGTCCCTGTGGAGGGCTACTCTGTCCCCACACCCCTACCTCCTCCCCCACCCCTGCAAATGAAAGGAGTTCATTAAGGAGTAGTTTCTCA